AAAAAAAAAAAAAAAAAAAAAACCAAACCAAACTTTTTTTTCTATTTAGAACTCACTCTGTATTAAAAACTAAACTGACTTTTTACATATGATTCCTTGTTTTGGTTTCTTCTTTGCAAGCTGGGTGTAGGATCTCTGATTTGCTTTTGCCACTTTGTGCAGGATGCACGGTGACTTCTTGACCGTAAGGTGGCTGGAGTTTTCTGGCTTAATTCTTCCGTGCGTATGGTCGGGAGTCCTAGCTATAAGCAGGTCGTGTGAGCGAGTCTGGTGTTGACTCTGTAGTGAGAGTGAGTGAGTCTAGCGTCGACTCCATAGTGTGAGGGAGCGAGTCTGGCCTCGGCTCCGTGGTGTGAGTGAGTGAGTGTGGCTGGCTGAGGATGGGACCTGCTGCGTGACATGGCCAGAGTCCACGTGCTGAGCTAGCACAGAGCAGAGGGAGGCTGCGCTTTTCAATTTATTTTATTTTTTGTACAGACACGGTCTCACCATATTGCCCAGGCTGGTCAAGTGATCCTTCCTCCTCGGCATCCCAAAGTGCTGGGATTACAGGGGTGCACCACCGTGCCTGGCCAAGGCTCCATTTTTTGAGCAGCTGTTCTCACTGGTCATTCGCCCTCTCCCCTGCAGATCAGCCGACACCCCAGGCCATCGAGCCCCAGGCCATCGTGCAGCAGGCCGCAGCCCCCAGTCGAATGCAGATGCCGCAGGGGAACCCACTGCTGCTGTCCCACACCCTGCAGGAGCTGCTGGCCAGGGACACTGTGCAGGTGGAGCTCATTCCGGAGAAGAAGGGCCTCTTCCTGAAGCACGTGGAGTATGAGGTTTCCAGCCAGGTAACCGGCAAATTGTGTGTATGTCGGGGCAGGATGGGGAAGAAAGGGTCGCATCTCAGCATCTCAGGGCAGGAGTGGTGTGACAGGAGAAGGCTGAAGGGTGAGTCTGTGCGACTGGCTATAGGCAAGATCCAGAACTCGCAGCAGGGTCAGACTGTGGAGCCGACTTTCCCACACCTTTTTTCCTTGCACCTCGCTCTGGCCCAGCCATGTCCCCACCTGGTCCAGTTCATCCTCCCCACCACTGTGCTCTGCAGTCTTGTCTTTTCTTTTCTTTTCTTTTCTTTTCTTTTCTCTTCTCCTTTTTCCTTCCTTCCTTCCTCCCTTCCCCACTTCCCTTCCCTTCCCTTTCCCGTTTCCTTTCCCTTTTCCCCTTTCCTTTCCTCTTTTTTTTTTTTTTGAGACGGAGTCTCGCTCTGTCACCCAGGCTGGAGTGCAGTGGCACGATCTCAGCTTACTGCAAGCTCCGCCTCCCAGGTTCACGCCATTCTCCTGCCTCAGCCTCCCGAGTAGCTGGGACCACAGGCACCCGCCATCATACCTGGCTAATTTTTTGCATTTTTAGTAGCAACAGGGTTTCACCATGTTAGCCAGGACGGTCTTGATCTCCTGACCTTGTGATCCGCCCGCCTCGGCCTCCCAAAGTGCTGGGATTACAGGCATGAGCCACCATGCCCAGTCTTGTGTTTTTTTTTTTTTTTTTTAAATTACAGACGGAGACTTGCTATGTTGTCTCAGCTGGTCTCAAACTCCTGGGCCCAAGCATTCCTCTCACATTGGCCTGCCAAAGTGCTTGGCTCACAGGCATGAGCCGCTGCACCTGGCCTTAAGGACGAGCGAGCAGGTCTCCCTACCCTGCCGTCTGCTCTGCTCTGCTTCATTGTGTTCCAGAGCCTGTGGCCACACGGTTCAAATGGTTGTCAGTAAAGGACGAAGGGGGTCAGAGAGGGGAGGATTCCCTTTGAGGACCGTGTCAAAGCCGCCTTGCTGTCTGGCATTGCCGTGGTTCCTGGCCCTCTGGGCCACAGTCAGAGATGTGGACCAGCCGGTGGGATGCTGCGGGGGAGCGGAGCGAGCCAACCCTTCTTTCTGGGGCCCGGCAGCCTGGGGGCGAGACAGCTGTGAGGGTGTGGGACGTGCTGTTCCCTGCCAGGAGCCAGCAGCTGGCCTTTCTTCCAGTCTTACTAAGCTGCCCGTCCCTTAAGTAAATTCATTGCCACGCAGGTAGCATTTGTCAAGGAGGCAGTTTGGTCACCCCCGATGTGTGTGTAATGGGCCAGCCATTACACTGACCAGGTGGGAAGCTGCTGTGCCTCATATCGTTTGCTTAATTTTTTTTTTTTTTTTAATTTTTTTGACACAAAGTCTTGCTTTGTCGCCCAGGCTAGAGTGCAGTGGCGTGATCTCGGTTCACTGCAACCTGCATCTCTGGGGTTCAAGGGATTCTCCTGCCTCAGCCTCCAAAGTAGCTGGGACTACAGCTGCCCACCACCACACCCAGCTAATTTTTGTATTTTTAGTAGAGATGGGATTTTGCCATGTTGGCCAGGCTGGTCTCAAACTCCTGACCTCAGGTGATCCACCTGCCTCGACCTCCCAGAGTGCTGGGAATACAGGCAGGAGCCACCGCGCCCGGCCTAAGAGTTTAAAAGTTGCATTGCCATACACGAAGGCATTACAGGATTTCTCCGTTTAGTAAAGGCCTGGTGAGAGGAGATGCACGTGGTGCTGCTGTTTTCCTGGGCTCTGTTGAGGGGAAGTGATGAGGCGGCGTGGTTTCCAATGTCACATCTAAGCACCGAACCTTCTCTTGCAGCGCTTCAAGTCCTCCGTGTACAGACGGTACAATGACTTCGTGGTCTTCCAGGAGATGCTCCTGCACAAGTTTCCCTACCGTATGGTGCCTGCCCTGCCACCCAAGAGAATGCTGGGAGGTAAAGCTGGGCGTGCTGCCCACCGGGGGTGGAGGGGGCGAGCCCACCCTGTGGTCCCAGCTCAGGGATGGAGTCCACTGTAGACTAGGCAGGTGCAGGGCTGCAGGGAAACTCCAGCCTTTTGGCATCTGGGGCAGAGCTATGGCTTGAGTGCAGCCTTGGTGCAGGCAGGGAGACTGGCACCCGGCATCCTTGGCCCACTGGAGCCTTCAACTGGATGACCTGGATGACTGACAGGTGGGGAATCCCTTGCTGTGCAGGTGTGAAAGAGAACCCCACTTCCCCTCTCCAGAGTGCAGTGGCCAGGGCCCCCGAGAGCTCCCAGGAGGACTGCCAGGAGCATTGTGTACTCACCTGGCTGGCATTGCCCTGCCGGCATCTGCAAAGCCATGGGAGCCTGAGCCATGGGTACCATGGGAGCACTCGTTGACCTCATGGAAGAGAACAGAAGTTGTGCAAGTAGGAAATGTAAGCTGCGTCTTGCAGGAGAGAAAAGACAGCATGCGGCTGCCTCACCTTCACCTCTGCCTGAAGATGGCCTTGGGCCAGGTGGGAGATCACAGATGACCTGGGAGCCCCTCCCCAGGCCTGTGTCCCCCTGGGCTGCAGAGCACGTGGACCGCGGCTGCCAGCTCTGATCTCACTGGGGGTCTCTCCCTCAGCCCATTCCTCCAATTCTGAATAAAACATGCTGGGGAGGCAAGTGCTTAGAGCTTGATCCTGGCTTTCCGCCATTCCCAGCCCTTCCACAGTCACCCTGTCCTGGACGGGGGCTCAGCATCAGAGCTAACACAGTGGCCGGTTCCCTGCATCTGAAATCGTACAATGGTGCATAAGTGCTTCTGCCTCTCGCCGGTCACTGAGCAGCTCGGGGTCTGATGGTGTGATTTTCTCCCCGTCCCGTGTGAACGCCACAGAGCAGATCATTCTGATCACGCTGAAGGGCATGTGGGCGCTCAGGGCAGCAGAGAGCAGAGGACACAACAGGGATGTGGGACGCTGGCTCAGACCTGGGCATCCGAGTTGCTCAGCGCTGGCTGGTGTTCAGCACCTGGAAACCGCACACACGTGCTGCACCACTTGCGCGTTACGGAAGCGCAGCCTCATCGGAAGAGGCCTGCCAGTCTTGAGCCAGGAGGGAAGCCCCAGCCAACTGTATTTGTTTTCTTTTCTTTTTTTTTTTTTTTGAGACAGAGTCTCACTCTGTTGCCCAGGTTGGAGTGCAGTGGTGCGATCTCGGCTCACTGCAGCCTCTGTCTCCTGGGTTCAAGTGATTCTCGTGCCTCAGCCTCCCAAGTAGCTGGGATTATAGACACGTGCCGCTGTGCCCAGCTCATATTTGTATTTTTGTAGTGACAGGTTTCACCACGTGGCCTAGGCTGGTCTTGAACTCCTGATCTCAGGTAATTCACCTGCCTCGGCCTCCCAAAGTGCTAGGATTACAGGCGTGAGCCACTACGCCTGGCCTGTATTTGTTTTCTTTCTTTTCTTTTTTTTTTCTGAGACAGAGTCTGGCTCTGTCGCCCAGGCTGGAGTACAGTGGTGCAATCTCGGCTCGCTGCAAGCTCTACCTCCTGGGTTCACGCCATTCTCCTGCCTCAGCCTCCCGCGTAGCTGGGACCACAGGCGCCCGCCACCTCGCCCGGCTAGTTTTTTGTATTTTTTAGTAGAGATGGGGTTTCACCGTGTTAGCCAGGGGTCTCGATCTCCTGACCTCGTGATCCGCCCGTCTCGGCCTCCAAGTGCTGGGATTACAGGCTTGAGCCACCGCGCCCGCCGACTGTATTTCTTAATACATTAAAGTAGTATTTAAAGGCTGGGTGCCGGTGCTCACGGGCCTGATGAATCCGCCAGCATTTGGCGAGGCTGAAGTGGGTGGATCATCCTGGAGTCAGTGAGGTCCGAGACCAGCGTTGACCCAACATGGTGGAAACCCCCGTCAAAGTACAAAAATTAGCTGGGTGCGGTGGCACATGCCTGTAATCCCAGCTAGTTGGGAGGCTGAGGCAGGAGAATCCCTTAAACCTGGGAGGCGGTGGTTGCAGTGAGCTGAGATGACACCACTGCACTCCAGCCTGGGTGACAAGAGCGAAACTCCGTCTCAAAAAAGAAAAAAGAAGTACTTAAATACCATTTTTATTTGTGTTCATACTGAAATGTCCTGAATGCATCAGTATATGCTTTTACTTTTTTTCCCTTTAGAGTGAAAATATTTAACCTGAATGAAAGCAATGAGTAATTGGATCCTTTGCAGAGTGAGTTATAAGCACAGTGAATAGAAAAACTCGGCCGGGTGCAGTGGCTCACGCCTGTAATCTCAGCACTTTGGGAGGCCGAAGTGGGCAGATCACCTGAGGTCGGGAGTTGGAGACCAGCCTGACCAACATGGTGAAACCCCATCTCTACTAAAAGTACAAAAATTAGCCGGGTGTGGTGGCGGGCACCTGTCATCCCAGCTAATTCCAGAGGCTGAGACAGGAGAATCGCTTGAACCTGGGAGGTGGAGGTTGCAGTGAGCCAAGATTGTGCCACTGCACTCCAGCCTGGGCAACAAGAGTGAAACTCTGTCTCAAAAAAAAAAAAAAAAAAAACCTGGGTTGCGTTAGTGTTGGAGCGTAGCAAAACCCATTCGTTCGCGGAGAGAAGTGCCAGGAGGGGATTCTGGAGGATGTCTTTAATGGAGGTGATCAAAGCGACCGCTCTCGTGGTTCCCAGGACTCCCGATGGAGACAAGCAGATCTGTGGTTTTCCCTGGCAGCTCCTGGACCCAAGTGTGTGTGGCCGGAGGGGGCATCTGGGAGTGCGGCTCTAGCTTTTTCAGACCCATTGTCCGAGCAGCACTGGGGGCCCGGCCAGTGCCCTCCGCTAGCCGCTGGGCGCTCTGCCGCCTGTAGGGAGAGTTTTGAGAACTCGCCCAGAGCAGATGGGGGCCGGCACCCTGGACTCTGTCCAGTGACCCCGTGCCCTCCTCCAGCCGACAGGGAGTTCATCGAGGCCAGGAGGAGAGCCCTGAAGCGCTTCGTCAACCTGGTGGCACGGCACCCCCTGTTCTCCGAGGATGTGGTCCTCAAGCTCTTCCTGTCCTTCAGTGGCTCGGTGAGTGTGTCTGCCCTGGCCCCGGGAGGTCCCGAGCCTCCGGACCCGCCCTTTCCTCTCTCAGGTTTGGTTTCTTGTCCTCCTGGTCCGTCGTTGGACGCCCAGCAGGAATGACACGGACAAGACTTCTTTCGTCTCCAGATAACAGTCTGAATGTGATTTTCAGAGGTGTCCCTGGTGTTGACTTTGCAGGATTTTGTAAATCCGTGTGGAGATCATGGGTCTCTGTGGTCACTTTGAGGATTTAGGCTGGATGTTTTGGAGGGTTTAGGGAGGTGCCAGAGACTCCAGATGGGAAGAAGTGTTTACTTAAAACAAGGCCCTGTCTGACTAGGGACCACTGGAACACAGGCTGAGTCTCCTTGTCAGAGCCACAGCACAGACCTGCAGCCAGGAATTAACTTGTTGTACACGCGCTCCGTCCAGGTCCGAGCGGGGGTTCCTTCCTCCCAGCTGCAGCGGCACAGCTTTAGTGTGTGTCAAGAAGCTATAGCTTGTGGGCACAGTGACCCACGCCTCTCATCCCAGCGCTTTGAGAGGCCGAGGCCAGATGGTCCCTTAAGCCCTGGCGTTTGAGACCAGCCTGGGCAACATAGCGAGACTTTGTCTCTGCCGAAACAAAATGAAACTGAGGCCAGGCATGGTGGTGCACACCTGTAATCCCAGTCACTCGGGAGGTGAGGCATGAGAATCCCTTGAACCCGGGAGGTGGAGCTTGCAGTGAGCTGTGATTGTGCCACTGCACTCCAGCCTGGGCGACAGAGCGAGACCCTGTCTCAAGAAAACAAAAAACAAAACAAAACAAAAATACCAACCCTGCAGCACATCTCCTGTTTCCTGCAGGAGGAAGCAGCCGCCAGCCCCTCCAGGGAAGGCGGGTCGGGTGCTTCTCCTCCGCCTGTGCCTGCAGGACCCTCTCCCTGTGAGCGGAGGGGCAGGGGCTCCACTGGAATAGAGGTTTCCAGGCTCTCCTCTGTTTTCTGGAAAGCCCTTCTTGAATGGGGACCTGAGGGCCCCTGCCCGTGTCCCTGCTGCAGGAAGACACCCCCTCTCCCAGGCTGACTTCACACAAGCCTTGCTTCCTTTTGTCTTCACTTCTCTCGGAGGCAGAGGGGCCTTCGCCCTGTGCCTGGGGTGTCTCTGGGATGCGCCCGAGGATGTCTGGAGCACGTAGTGGGACCTTTTGAGCCCTGGGGGTGGAAACCTTCCTTTGGAAGGCGATCTGGATTGTCAGAAGAGGAATGTGGCAGGACCTGGGAGGGGCGGTGGGGAGGGGTGCCGTGGGTCACAGGCGGGCGATACCCCTGTTCTGGGGGTAGGATGCGCCCTGTGGCCTTTCCACAGGTATCATTCTCTGTCACTTCCCGGCCTCAGTTTTCTTGCTTGCTTTCTGTTTTTAAAGATGGGGTCTCACTATGTTACCCGGGCTGGCCCTGAACTCCTGGGCTGTAAGCGATCCTCCCGCCTCAGGCTCTGAGTAGCTGGGACTACAGGCATGCATCATGCTGGGCCTCAGGTTTTTGTTTTTTGTAAAATAAGAGTTGAGTCAGATGATCTTCAAGGCATCTCTGAAATTTGAGAATTCCTGGACACGTCAATAGCTGCCTATTAGGGTTTCCCCTTGTATCTCCTGGGTGGCTCCTGATTTTCAGGCATGGCTTTGCCCAGGAAGCCTCGTTCAGATGAGAGGGCTCCAGTGCTAGTGGTTGGGCCTGTCCTTCCTCTGCCCAGCAGCTCCCTGGGCTCTGGTGTCCCTGGCGCCAGGCATGCGTTCCCAGGAAGGAAGACGCTTTTGCCTTGTTCTGTTGCGCTTTTGGAACCTACCAGGGTCTCACGTATCTGCCGTCTGTCTCCGGGGCTGATGCCGCCTCTGGTCTGTGGATGGAGTGGCTGTTTCTCTGCACAGCCTCCCCTGTCTGCGGATGGAGGTCTGTGGATGGAGTGGCTGTTTCTCTGCACAGCCTCCCCTGTCTGCGGATGGAGATCTGTGGACGGAGGGGCCGTTTCTCTGCAGAGCCGCCCCCAATCTGCAGATGGAGGTCTGTGGATGGAGTGGCTGTCTCTCTGGAGAGCCTCCCCCCATCTGCGGATGGAGGTCTGTGGATGGAGGGGTTGTTTCTCTGCAGAGCCGCCCCTCGTCTGCGGATGGAGATCTGTGGATGGAGGGGCCGTTTCTCTGCAGAGCTGTCCCCCGTCTGTATGGAGGTCTGTGGACGGAGGGGCTGTCTCTCTGGAGAGCTGTCCCCCGTCTGCGGATGGAGGTCTGTGGACGGAGGGGTCGTTTCTCTGCAGAGCCACCCCCCGTCTGCGGATGGAGGTCTGTGGATGGAGGGGCCGTTTCTCTGCAGAGCCGCCCCCCGTCTGCGGATGGAGGTCTGTGGATGGAGGGGCTGTCTCTCTGCAGAGCTGCCCCCCGTCTGTGGATGGAGGTCTGAGAATGGAGGGGCCGTTTCTCTGCAGAGCCGCCCCCCGTCTGTGGATGGAGTGGCTGTGCCTCTGGAGAGAGGCTGCAGGTTTGTGGGGCTTCTGCTGTGAAGCCAGGACATCCTGTTTGGTGAGAAAAACACCTAAGGGAGAGTCAAGAGATTGTGGAATCCTAATGTCAAAGCCAACATATGGAAATGTGTTTCTCCTGAGGAAGGACGGCATTCTGCTGCACAGTGGCCCACGCCCCACAGCCGCTTTCTTGCTGCCTGTAGAAGAGGGTGAAGCTGTCTCTTTTCCTTTTGCAGGATGTGCAGAACAAGTTAAAGGAGTCAGCACAGTGCGTCGGGGACGAATTCATGAACTGTAAGCTGGCTACCAGGGCCAAGGTATTTTTCTAACTTTCAAGAGTCCTTCCCTTTTTAACCAGAGAAACAACAATTTTAACCCTTTGTAGTGATTCTGCCTCGTCTGCGTGGCAAGGATTATACTGACATCTGTCGCGTGGTTTCCTCATTTAACCCTCGTTTCAGCTGCTCTGATACAGGGCTGGGAGGCCTGTTTTACGGATGGAGAAACAGGCTCGGCGAGCCAAGGCCCCGAGCCTCTAAGCAGCAGGGCCGGGATGTGGCTGAGCTCTGACCTCAGGCCCTCCAGGCACCCCGTGCCCTCTGCCCCTTTCTGTGACTCAGACAGCCGGATGCTTGTGTCACCGCCTCTTCAGATTTCTGGGGATTCATTGTTGCATCTGTTTATGATTGAATGTTTGAAATCTGGTCTTTTTCCAAAAAGGACTAAGGTTAGGGTAGTTTTTTTGTTTTTTGTTTTTTCTTTTTAAACCTCTTCTTCAGGCCGGCACGGTGGCTCATGCCTGTAATCCCAGCACTTTGGGAGGCTGAGGCTGTCGGATCACTTGAGGTCAGGAGTCTGAGACCAGCCGGGCCAACATAGCAAAACCCCATCTCTAATAAAAATACAAAAAAACCCCAAAAAACTGGCCAGGCATGGTAGCTCACACCTGTAATCCTAGCACTTTGGGAGGCCGAGGCGGGCGGATCACGAGGTCAGGAGTTCAAGACTAGCCTAACATGGTGAAACCCCGTCTCTACTAAAAATGCAAAAATTAGCCAGGTGCGATGGCGCACACCTGTAGTCCCAGCTACTCAGGAGGCTGAGGCAGGAGAATCGCTTTAACCCAGGAGGCAGAGGTTGGAGTGAGCCGAGATCATGTGCCACTGCACTCTAGCCTGGGTGACAGAGACTCCATCAAAAAAAAGAGAAAAAAATTAGCTAGGCTTGGTGGCAGGCACCTGTAATCCCAGCTACTTGGGAGACTGAGGCAGGAGGATTACTTGAACCCAGGAGGCGGAGGCTGCAGTGAGCCGAGGTCATGTTACCGCACTCCAGCCTGAGGAACAGACTCAGACTTTGTCTCAAAAACAACAATAGCAACAACAAAAAACCCAGAAAAAAACCTGCTTCTTCATACGAAAATAAAAAAATCTAATTTTATTTTATTTCATTTTTTGAGACAAGGTCTTGCTCTGTCCCCAAGGCTGTAGTGCAGTGGCACAATCATAGGTCATTGCAGCCTTGACCTGCCGGGTTCCAGCGATTCTTCCACCTCAGCCTCCCATAACAGCTGGGACTACAGGCGTGTGCCACAACACTTGGCTGATTTGTTTGTTTTCGGTATAGATGAAGTCTCACTATGTTGCCCAGGCTGGCCTTGAACTCTTGGCCTCAAGCAGTCCTCCTGGCATGGCCCCCGCAAAGTACTGGGATTATAGGCATGAGCCACCACGCCTGGCCAGATCTTTTACCTTCATTTTACTCACTGAGCTTTCTGTTTTCTGAACACTGGTAGCTAGTATCAAAGCTTCTAAAAAGTCTTTGGGAATAAGTGAGGCATACAAGAGGCCTTCCCCCCATGTGGAGAGTCTTTCAGGGATTTATGTTCATTGTGTTTCACTTGAAGATTGTTTGTTTTTATTTTTGTTGTTTTCTGGAGACAGGGTCCCCAGGATGGACTGCAGTGTTGTGATCATGGCTCTTTGCAGCCTGGAACTCCTGGGCTCAAGTGATCCTCCTGCTCAGCCCTCTGTAAGCGCCTGGGACCACAGGCGCTCCACCACGCCTGGCTAATTTTTTGATTTTTTGGGAGAGATGGGGTCTCACGTGTTGCCTAGGCTGTTCTTAAACTCCCAGGCTCTGGCGATCCTCTTGCCTCTCTCCCAGAGTGCTGGGGTACAGGCGTGAGTCACTGTATCCAGCTAAAGATTATTATTATTATTATTTTTTGAGATGGAGTCTCGCTCTGTCGCCCAGGCTGGAGAGCAGTGGCACGATCAAGGCTCACTGCAAGCTCCGCCTCCCGGGTTCACGCCATTCTCCTGCCTCAGCCTCCCGAGTAGCTGGGACTACAGGCGCCCAACACCACGCCTGGCTAATTTTTTGTATTTTTAGTAGAGATGGGGTTTCACTGTGGTCTTGATCTCCTGACCTCGTGATCCACCCACCTCGGCCTCCCAGAGTGCTGGGATTATTTGAGGGTTTTGTTGGTTTGTTTGTTTTGAGACAGAATCTTGCTCTGTCGCCCAGACTGGAGTGCAGTGGTATGATCTCAGCTCACTGCAACCTCTGCCTCCCAGGTTCAAGCAATTTTCCTGTCTCAGCCTCCAGAGTAACTGGGATCACAGGCGCCCGCCACCATGCCCAGCTAATTTTTGTATTTTTTGTAGAGACGGGGTTTCACCATTTTGGTCAGGCTGGTCTCGAACTCCTGACCTCAGGTGATCCACCCGCCTCAGCCTCCCAAAGTGCTGGGATTACAGGCGTGAGTGACCGCCCCTGGCCTTATTTGAGTGTTTTTGGATAGGTCCTCCGGTGTGATGGGATTTCAGTGGACTCTGTGGTCCTCATCCCAGGGCTCATTTGTCTTCGTGTTTGTGGCATGTGGGTGATGACGGTTTTCGTTTCTTTCTTGGACGTACAGAGTGATCCCTGCAGGCCTGGAGGAGTTGGGCTCTCGGGGTGGCTCATGGACCTGCTGGGTCTCCCGTGGCTCAGCTTTTGGGGGACTGGCTGCTCCCGTCTGACAGGTGCTCCCCAGCGAGTAACACACAGTCTCTCTCCCCCTCCGCATCATGTCAGGACTTCCTCCCAGCTGACATCCAGGCTCAGTTTGCCATCAGCCGGGAGCTAATCCGGAACATCTACAACAGCTTTCACAAGCTTCGCGACAGGGCCGAGCGGATCGCGTCGCGGGCCATCGACAACGCGGCAGATCTTCTCATATTCGGGAAGGAGCTAAGGCAGGTGACCTTTCAGCTTCTGCAGGGGCACGCGCGGTGGGACGGGAATCCACGCTGGTGAAGGGCTTGGGCAGAAAGTGCATTTACTGTAATAACCAGCATCCTGACCTGTTTCACCCCAGAAGGGGCAGAAAGTGGGTCAGGCACATGGGGGGTCATATTTAGAAGAAACACGGGAGAATTTCAGCCCTGAAACACAGATTTCTGAGCACGAGTAAATGCTCACCAGTTTCTAGTCTGGTAGTTTTCCCACTGTCAGGATGAGACTTTAAAAAAAGATCCCAGGCCAGGCTGGGTGGCTCACGCCTGTGATCCCAGGACTTTGGGAGGCCAAGGTGGGTGGATCACTTGAGGTCAGGAGTTCGAGACCAGCCTGACCAACATGATGAAACCTTGTCTCTGCTAAAAAAGTACAAAATTAGCTGGTCGTGGTGGCACATGCCTATAATCCCAGCTACTCGGGAGGCTGAGGCAGGAGAATTGCTTGAACCCAGGAGGTGGACATCGCAGTGAGCCGAGATTGTGCCATTGCACTCCAGCATGGGCAACAAGAGCGAAACTTCATCTCAAAAAATAAAAAAATTAAAAAAAGAGCCCTGGCTGGGCACGGTGGCTCACGCCTGTAATCTCAGCACTTTGGGAGGCCAAGGCGGGTGGATCATGAGGTCAGGAGTTCAAGACTAGCCTGACCAAGATGGTGAAACTCCCTATCTACTAAAAATACAAAAAAAAAAAAAATTAGCTGGGCATGGTGGTGGGCGCCTGTAATCCCAACTACTTGGGAGGCTGAGGCGGAGAATTGCTTGAACTTGGGAGGCGGAGGTTGCAGTGAGCTGAGATTGTGCCACTGCACTCCAGCCTGGGCGACAGAGCAAGACTCCATCTCAAAAAAAGGAAAAAAGATCCCTTTGACTTGGGGAAGAACAGACCATGGGCTGGCAATGCTTCCTTTGCCTGAGGGGAGGGGAGACCCCATCCAGGACTCTGCTCCCCCCAGCAGTGCCTCTCACCTGTGCACACATGTCACCTGGGGGCTGGTAGGGAAGAACAGATGCAGCAGGGCCTGGGGTGCAGCCTCAGGGCCACTCTTTCTCCTGGGCTTCCAGGGTCCCCACAGGCCACTCTTTGAGCAGCAGGGGCACAGGACGGGGGAGCATGCAGGTTGCCGTGGAGGACGCAGTGTTGAGAGCTGCACGTCTGTGGCGGGGGATGCCAGGCTTGACTGCGGGGTGAGCTCCAGGCCTTGAGTGTCTCCTCTCGTGTGCTTGCTCCCTCAGTGCAATCGGGTCCGACACAACCCCGCTGCCCTCCTGGGCCGCTCTGAACAGCAGCACCTGGGGGTCCCTGAAGCAGGCTCTGAAAGGCCTGTCTGTGGAATTCGCGCTGCTCGCCGATAAGGCCGCACAACAGGTGAGTGGATTGGTTCTCCCAGGCGCCTGTTCCAGAGAACACACTATGCCTTGGCATGGGGAGTGCCTCCTGCTTACACGGGCTTCACGGTTTGTTTTTGTTTTGTTTTTTTTGAGACGGAGTCTCGCTGTGTCACCAGGCTGGAGCGCTGTGGTGCGATCTCGGCTCACTGCAACCTCCGCCTCCCGGGTTCAAGTGATTCTCCTCCCTTAGCCTCCTGAGTAGCTAGGACTACAGGTGTCCACCACCGCGGCTGGCTAATTTTTTGTATTTTTAATAGAGACGAGGTTTCACCATGTTGGTCAGGCTGGTCTCCTGACCTCAGGTGATCCGCCCACCTCGGCCTCCCAAAGTGCTGGGATTACAGGCGTGAGCCACTGCGCCTGGCCGGCTTCCCAGTTGTGAGCTGAGTGAGTGAGCAGCTGTGCCCTGGGTGGGAGCTGCCTGTCCCCATCTGTTCCTGGTGGCTCCCTAGGAGTGTTTATGCTTTCGAGAGGGGTTGCCAGTGACAAAACAGATAGGGCTGTAGTCTTGAGTGTTGATTTTGCTGAGGTTGGAAGAGAAGATAGACTCTGTCTTTGAAAAGATCATCTCAGGCTTCCAGGCATACTCCTGGGTGGACCAGATAGTTCCCACTTTGCTGCCTGAGTCAACTAGGATTTGGCACTGGAGACTTAACTCATCAGAATGATGATGAAGCCCCAGCACCCAAGAGGCTCCCACCTCCCACTCCACACACAACCTCAGGAAGTGCTTCTGCTGCATGGGCAGAAGCTGTTTTTAGAAATCCGCCAAGATCTTGGAGTCGTTTGGGATCAGTTTGAAGATACGGTGTTTACTATCACGCTGCAAGGCTCATCTGGGTGCTTTTATGTTAAAAAACTGTTAGTGGCTGGGCATGGCGGCTCACACCTATCATCCCAGTGCTTTGGGAGGCCGAGGCAGGAGGACTGCTTGAGCCCAGGAGTTCGAGACCCAGCCTGGGCAACAGAGCAAGATCTCATGCCAGGGGTGGTGGTGCACGGAGTCTCGCTGTGTCACCAGGCTGGAGCGCTGTGGGTGATGACGGTTTTCGTTTCTTTCTTGGACGTACAGAGTGATCCCTGCAGGCCTGGAGGAGTTGGGCTCTCGGGGTGGCTCATGGACCTGCTGGGTCTCCCGTGGCTCAGCTTTTGGGGGACTGGCTGCTCCCGTCTGACAGGTGCTCCCCAGCGAGTAACACACAGTCTCTCTCCCCCTCCGCATCATGTCAGGACTTCCTCCCAGCTGACATCCAGGCTCAGTTTGCCATCAGCCGGGAGCTAATCCGGAACATCTACAACAGCTTTCACAAGCTTCGCGACAGGGCCGAGCGGATCGCGTCGCGGGCCATCGACAACGCGGCAGATCTTCTCATATTCGGGAAGGAGCTAAGGCAGGTGACCTTTCAGCTTCTGCAGGGGCACGCGCGGTGGGACGGGAATCCACGCTGGTGAAGGGCTTGGGCAGAAAGTGCATTTACTGTAATAACCAGCATCCTGACCTGTTTCACCCCAGAAGGGGCAGAAAGTGGGTCAGGCACATGGGGGGTCATATTTAGAAGAAACACGGGAGAATTTCAGCCCTGAAACACAGATTTCTGAGCACGAGTAAATGCTCACCAGTTTCTAGTCTGGTAGTTTTCCCACTGTCAGGATGAGACTTTAAAAAAAGATCCCAGGCCAGGCTGGGTGGCTCACGCCTGTGATCCCAGGACTTTGGGAGGCCAAGGTGGGTGGATCACTTGAGGTCAGGAGTTCGAGACCAGCCTGACCAACATGATGAAACCTTGTCTCTGCTAAAAAAGTACAAAATTAGCTGGTCGTGGTGGCACATGCCTATAATCCCAGCTACTCGGGAGGCTGAGGCAGGAGAATTGCTTGAACCCAGGAGGTGGACATCGCAGTGAGCCGAGATTGTGCCATTGCACTCCAGCATGGGCAACAAGAGCGAAACTTCATCTCAAAAAATAAAAAAATTAAAAAAAGAGCCCTGGCTGGGCACGGTGGCTCACGCCTGTAATCTCAGCACTTTGGGAGGCCAAGGCGGGTGGATCATGAGGTCAGGAGTTCAAGACTAGCCTGACCAAGATGGTGAAACTCCCTATCTACTAAAAATA